ATGTGGCACGGTGGGGTGGGTAGGATTGGGGATCTCGGAGGCCTTTTTCCAATCCAAAAGACTCTACAGTCTTGTAAGTGACTTTTAAAAGCCTTTGGGCTTGATGCTGCTGCATGGAGCCATGCCATCATTCCACCGAGCTGAGCTTTGTGGCTGCTGCCACCTGCAGCACCCAGCCCTGCAGGCATCCACAGCCTTCTGCCCAGGGTAACTGCACTGCTCTGCTGCTGTGCCAGGCACAGATGAAAAATGACCTAAATACTGCCAAGTATACAGATATCTAGCACCAGCAGTGGTCTGAGCTTCCCAAAATAGCACAGACAGGGAGCTACAACTATGGAACAGTGAAAGCTCCTGAGAGCAGCAATATTTCAGAAAAGCACCTGAAAAATAATATAGTCTGGCAGATTCCTTTTGCCGCAGGGACTGTTTCAGACCACACTGCAACCTTCATTGGAGAAAAGGCAAAAGAAGAAACGATTCTGAAGCACAGGATACCGACCTTGTGAGCAGGACAAGGTGCTCCCCAGTCCAACCGTGGGGTGGCTCTGAGCATCCCTGTGCACAAGGAGATGCTGACACCCCACAGAGCAGCCCCTGCTCAGGTGCTGCAATGTCTGCCCATCATTAAGATGCAAACTGGTTGCAAATCCAACAGGAAAATGGGATCTGCAGGTGTTGCAGTCATTACTGATTTTGCTGCCTCACTATAAAGCTGCTGAGAGAAGTTCCAGTGTGGCAAAGCACAAAGAAAGGGGCACACTTCCCTGAGTGAACCAATGCCATGAGCTGGGACCAGATGGAAAAGGGAAGTGCCCCTAGAAAGCTCAGGAGCTTCCTAACCTGTAACCTGCAAGGAGCTGGGGATACTGCAGGCATGAGGTACAACCCCTCCAAATGAATGGGAAAATGCACAGGGTGGGCAACCAAATAAAGGTATGAAAGATACATAAATCATTGGGAAATGACCCCACAAGGCAGGGAAAGCAAACAAACAAGAAGTCTGAGAATTAACACTTTGCACACGACAAAGACGCCATCGTGCCTGTAAGTGAACTGTGTGCTACAGAGGAGCGCTGGGGGAGGGCTGTCACTTCACGAGGTCTTGGGCAGAGCAGGATCCTGGAACAGTCACACCTTCTGGGGGGAAGCAAACAAAAATGGCAAAATCAGAGGCTAAACAGTGGGCTGGGAAAAAAAAAAAAAAAAAAAAAGAAAATAAAAAAGAACCACGAAGAAACAGAAGAACCTGCTCTGCAGCTCCCAGCTGTTGTGGAGGATGACAGACAGGTGGGAGCCACGATAAAAGGGGACTCGGCTGTTGGTAGCATGGGCATGGAGACGAGCAGAAAACTGAAATCTGCTTTAGTTAAACTGGAATGGCTCCCTAAAGAAAAGGGACCCTTGACCAGGCAGATAGTAATGCAAGCACATTTAGTACAGCTGTAAAACTCAATTATCTCTGAGGAAGCAGCAATAGAAAACCAAATGATGAAAGAACACGCCAGCTCACTTGGCCTCTGAACAACCACTCAGCAAAGCAGCAGCTTTCCCTGTAGGATGTTTACTTGGACCTATGGCTCTGTGTGACAAACGGGACCACCTGGTCCCAGTGAGCAGGTACCAGGCACAAAGGACACACAATATTCTTGCTAAGCCCAACCAGATCGGCACCAAAATCTGCCAAACATTTCAGGAAGGTGATTTATCAATAAACCAAGGGGACACAGCAGGCAAGATTTGAACATAGAAAATACGTTTCCCAAATGAATTCACGTGGGACCCACTCAGAAATCTGTTGAAAATCAATACACAAGAACAGAACTTGAGGTTGTCTGATGCAACATCGACATTCACATCTGAAAGGACATTCACCTTCATGTTTCACAGGCATAATGCATTAAAACAATACAGCTGTCTGTACTTCCACAGCAGGGAGGAAAGACAAATCATTAAGAGTTGGATCAGAAGATACACACACAAAAAATGGATGTGATGAAAGGCAACTGTGTTTCTGTGGAGGAAAGGCATGCCTTGGGATCCTGGGTGCTGTAAAGGGTGGATGGGTGTGAGATGAGTTTAAGGGAGCATATAAACAGGAGGGGAATGGCTGTTTGTGAGGGTGGATGGTGACAGGACAAGGGGAATGGTTTTAAACTGAGGCAGGGGAGGTTTGGGTTGGATATGAGGAGGAAGTTTTTCCCCCAGAGGGTGGTGAGGCACTGGCACAGGTTGCCCAAGGAGGCTGTGGATGCCCCATCCCTGCAGGCATTCAAGGCCAGGCTGGATGTGGCTCTGGGCAGCCTGGGCTGCTGGTTGGCGACCTGCACACAGCAGGGGGTTGGAATTGGATGAGCACTGTGCTGCTTTGCAACCCAGGCCATCCTAGGATTCTGTGATTCCCAACCTTACTGATTCTATGCCTCTATCTTAGCCATCCTTACAAACCTCCTATTGCAGTCCGTCTCTTCTTTGCATAGAGCAAAGCAAACAACCATGTGCAGGGTTAAAACCTGCTGCACCTCGGTTCCTCCTGCTCATGGGCACAGCACAGCACACACTGTGTGCTCTCAGAGGTCTCACAGAGGCCCACCAGCGCCGTGGGCACAGACTGCTGGTCTGCACAGAGCAGCTGCAGGGCTGCAGGCTCACCTCTCGCTGTGCAGCTGTGACAAACCCTCCATCTCACTTCCCTGGGCGGCCTCATTTCCCTCCGTGCTTTAACTCACTGTTAGCCTCAACAAAATCTGTTACACCTCATTTCTGATCCTCACAGGAGGAGCTTTGTTAAAGAAAGGCAAAATCTAACTCGATTGCTCTCGTGCCATTTTGTATTTTACTACTTTATGAAGTATGTGCACTTTTTGCAGATTGCCTTTGCACTTTTCCTTTCCAGCAGGGGTAGATATGGAGGAAGCACTACAAGATGGTATGCTCACAATTTGCACAAGATGCTCACAGCCTCTCCCCCGCTGTGCCCCAGTGAGCTCACTCTTCCACAAGCATTTTCACTGCATTACCTGATCCTTCAATTGCCTCACTCCACCACATACAGGTCGCCTTCTCAAGTTAAGTATTACTATCACATAGATTTTTGTCTTCCTGCTTTTTACAGAGATGTTTTAGGTCGGCTACAATCTCTATTACAACATGGCTCTTCAATAGCTTTATCTATAATCCTGTCTCCATTCTGCTCAGGACTAAATTGCAGTTGCTTTTCTCTTTTGTCTACTTCAACCAATGGCAATTTTTTATTACACCCGGAAACGCAGCCTCTGTGTGACACTGATGAATAACTGAAATCTTTTATTACTTCTTTAAATCCGCACCACCTCTCTAATCCTCTTTAGCATTTTACAGTCCAGATATCAAACCGGTCAAAAGATCAGAGCTAGACTGTGATTTCCCTGTTTCTGTGTGGGATGTCAACCCACGGAAACGCTGTGAGAAAATGGATATAAATTGTTATATCTTTCACTCATTTATCAAAATAGCTTCCCCAGCGCGAGCTGCTCTGCCATGGCTGCCAGGTGGTGGTGGGTGAGGTCCCCTGGCTGGACAGGGGTCCCCTGGGTGGATGGGGGTCCCCCTGCAGCCCCACACAGCCCCACACCTCTAGGCTCTGCCTGCACGCAGCCAGCAGACCTGATGCACTCACAGCCCCACACCAGCCAGCCTAGCACAGCGTGCAGATTGTGAGGCTTCCCGTGCTTTCTTTTAATCCCTGATCACACCTGCTGTGCTCTTGGTGGCATTTCCATCCCCAGCTGCGTGCTCACATTCCTCCGGCAGATTCAATTGCCACCTGCTCAAAACAACAGACCTCCCCCATCCCTGCGTGTTGCTCTCTCTTACTCGGAGCAGAGTGCATCCTCCCAGTGCTGCATTCAACTTATTGCTCACAGCTTCTGTGAGGGTTACTTTGATTTTTGCTTCGATGTTATTGCACCCAGCAGGCCAGCTACCAGGTGGTGCTCAGTGCAGCAGCAGCCTGCAGTTCTTTCTCTCCCAGCTTAGAATTGATTTCAGTCTTCTTTGTTTTGTTTACTGCAGAACTTGGAGACTGTTTTCTGGCTAGCTCTGCTGGGCAAGCAAACTCCATCCTTTCTTCATCAACTCAATCCCACAAAGTCGCTGTGACTGTGAAGGAGCATCCCCACAAGCACCGTGCTGCTGTGCAGGACGTGGCCGGGGGCAGAAGAGGGCTCCAGCATAGCAGGGCACTGCACTCAACTCCTTCATGCAGGAACCTCATTTCTGCTCTGCTGGCAGGTAAGAGCTGTCTGCTCAGCTCTAAAGATCCCTTCAACAAAACGCCAGAAAAAGCAGCTTTGCAGATTTCACAGGCGCTGTAAGATGAGAGAGGAGCTTCATGAATAAGCACCTACCTGAAAAAAATAATTACCAGAAGTAGGCCAAACAGAGGAGGAGTGGATAAGGATTCCCCCCAGGGTCACATACTATATTCCTGTTGTAAGTTTATATATAGACGTCCTAAATAGCAAACCAAATTAAGCTACATTAGTCCTTTTTGACAGCTCAGCTGTGGGGGAGTCACGAGCATGGAGCGAGCAGGAAAAATCAGAGGCTTTAGCTCTCCTGTGTAACCAGATCACACAACGTTAATTAATCTCATATTTGACTTTGGAAACACTTCCCGTTTGGCTTGTAGTGCTACTCCTAGGAGTTATTAGCAAGTCCTGTTCTCTCTCTGGCTCTTCTCTTGCAAGTCATTCATTTCCAAGGAGCCAGCACAGCTTCAGACAAGCCCTGTGCAGACCTTCGCACCCGGGGACAGAGCACTGCCCTGGCAGCAGCACCAGCACTGCCATTTGCTGCTATCACTTCACCACATCACGCAGAACCACAGAACGGCCCGGGTTGGAAGGACCTCAAGGATCACGAAGCTCCAACCCCCCTGTGCCATGCAGGGCCACCAACCTCCCCATTTCACAGCAGCCCAGGCTGCCCAGAGCCCCATCCAACCTGGCCTTCAACACCTCCAGGGATGGACGGGGCATCACAGCCTCTCTGGGCAGCTGTTCCAGCACCTCACCACTCTCACAGCACACAACTTCCCCCTGACATCCAACCTCCATCTGCCCTCCCTCAACTCCAAACCATTTCCCCTTGTCCTGCTGTTATCCACCCTTTCCAAGAGTCCTGACGTTTCTTACTGCTCTCAGAAATACACAGATGCACAGTACACATTCACATCAGCCAGCTCCTGCCAACAGGCCTTTGTTACCAGGCATCATCAGCACTAGCATTTAAACCAATTTACTTTGTGGTTAGGCTCAAGCAAAAATTACTTATCCTTCATGTGTGCATTTCAACCGATCTGCTGCGAAATGACTCAAGCTAAGGCTTTGTTAGAAGACTTTCCTCTAAAATCTAAGTTTGTCAATAAAAAGCTATTTCTAACTGGCCTCCCACTTCTGCTGCTTCTGAGATATCCATCATGAAATGCTGTGTTCGTAGGGCTTGCCAAAGGACCTTCCTCTAATAAGAAAGCTTGTCAATAAGTTCACTTTTTAGCTGTTCTTCCCAAAGCTGTTGTAAAGATGTAATTGTCAAGAAGATATAGATTTACTTGGCATCCCTAGCTAGGCTTGAGAAATTACAACTGTGCCTTTCTGTCAAACACATGCCTTCAGCCAAGTCAGTCTGAAATTGTGCACAATGCTTTAAGGAGAAACTGTAGGAGACAGCTTTTTCCATATACTTCTCACATGGGAGAAAAAAAAATAAAGAAAAAATTTTTATATTTAAAGCCAAGAAACAGAAAAAAAGCAAACTTTCTTCCTGGGAAGGTTGTGCTGTATAGCCACGTTTGACGAGCAAACCAAATGTTGGGGGTTGATTGCTTGGCTATTTGATTCCAAATTTATCTGGCCTTTCTGATGCTCGCAGGTTCTGGGCTTTATGTAAAATAAAGCTTTCCTCCAAAAGGGCAAGTTCAAAAACGTGTGTCCTCAGACTGTGGAGAGATGTGTCCCTCACAGGGACAACCTGCAAGCCACTGGCTCAGGAGTTGCTCTGTGCTGTGCAGCCTATCACTGAGCCTGAGCATTTCCTTTGTTAGCACATCTATGACTGTTTTATTAGCCTAATAGCCAAAGCATCTTCGATCCACCCTATTTTCATTTCCTTGGTGCTAACTCCTGAGCTCTAGCTGTTCCTGCATCCTGGAGGCACTGCGAGCCCAACAAAACCACTCTAAGAAAAAATAACTGAACAAATACCTGCAGAATCTTATGCCCTACACGGGCATCGTTTCATTTTCAGCCTCAGCACCCAGCCCAATAAAAGCTCCATGATGAGGGTCCAGCACAGCCCTCCAGGCATGCTCCACCTGAGGAAAGCCCATCAGCACCCACTACTTCCAAGCTCAATTGAAACACTGAGGTTGGGAGGACTTCCTACAGAACACAGAGGTACATCTCACAGGATGTTGCTTTTAAGAATTGTAAGCAGGGCTTTTACATAAAGCAAAAAGGACTTTGGATTCGTCAGGGAACCTTACTGAGAGCTGCCTATCCGCAAGGCAAACAATGCCTTTTCTGTCTGGTTCGTTCTGAGCTACAGAAACCTGCATTTTTAGTCACTTTCAGTGATTCCAGCAAAAATTGTTTTAAGTGGAAGAGAAAGACTTCTGTCCCCTGCTGCCCTTTGCTCTTCACTTTTTTTTTTTCTTTTTTCTCTGAAACCAGCCACAGTTCTCTCCCAACTCAGTCACTGTATATAAGAGCTACTCAAAATTCTTTGCTGATACCGAGGAGGAATGGCACCATACACAGAAGCCTGGTAATTCTAAGCATTTTAGGTAGCTGTTCTTGCAAGAAACACACAGCATTTCCAGTCATTGTAGCATGGAATTATCTAGTTTCTCCTTTTACCCAAATCCCCTTCCCTTATGACTCCATTATTGGAAGTCTAAGCACATTAATTTCTGACTTTGCCCGCTGTTTCAGACCAGCCTAAGGATACAGCATCACACGTGAATGCAGCACCACCCTCTGAACGCATCACAGGGCATTAAAACTAATGATTTTTTTCAAATGTTTTGTGCATCAACAACCACCTGAGTTGGAAGGAAGGTCTGCATGACTTACATCTAAGGGAAAAGAAGGCTGCATACCCCGAGGCGACTGGTTACCTTGGAACACCAGTCAGATAAATCACAGTCAGATCAAAAAGCAAGGACTGACTTCCTAAAGACTAATCCTAATCTCAAACAGTAAAACAAAAGTATTTTTCTTCTGTGCACAAAAATAAGTATTTCTCATAAAACCCAGGGATGATAAAAAGCAGCAAAGCATCCCAGGACGAAACCCCACTGAGGAGGAGGAGCAGGCATGACAATATGGCACATCCTGCCCATCATCCCATGGCTGGGGATACAGCACAGCTCAGCACGGCTCGTCCCACACCATTTCCCACAGCCCTGGCACAAGAGAAAGGTGATTGCAGCAGAGCGGGGCTGGTCTCTTCTCACTGGTGACAAGACAAGGGGAAATGGCCTCAAGTTGCACCAGGGGAGGTTTAGGTTGGATACCAGAAGGAATTTCTTTGCAGAAAGGGCTGTGAAGCACTGCCATGGGCTGCCCAGGGAGGTGGTTGAGTCACCATCCCTGGATGTGCTTACAAACCGTTTGGATGTGGTGCTCAGGGCTGTGATGTAGGGGTGGGCTGTTAGAGTTAGGGTAGGATGGTTGGGCTGTGGTTGGACTCAATGATCCTTAAGGTCTTTTCCAACCTGAGCAATTCTGTGATACTTTCATCCTTGGGCTGCAGCAATCCTTGCAGAGTGGCAACAGGAGTACAGCCTCTGCACCCAACGAGATCTTGCGGGCTTCAGTCACAGCACAACAAGCCCAGGAGTTTCTTTATTGAAAGGACATCCAAGAGAGCACTGGGCCTGATGCTTTGTTGCCCCTTCTGCATTAGCTAGAACCTTTACAGCACTAATGACACGTCTTAAGTTTCCTCTGGGAGAACACTGCTTTCGTGGATAGGCTCAGAGAAGTTAATTGAGCAAAACTCCGAGCCAAGAAGCTTCTTCAGATCTGCTAACCCCAAGTATTTCTTCTTAATTGGAGTTACTGAGAAGTTCAATCTCAGATTCATTCTAAGTGCCTTGTTGGGCTGCAGTCTGAGCGGTCTTCGCACTGAAAAATGTCACTGCAGTAGTCTACAGAAAATTATTTGCAACTGGGGCATTTATCAGTTAAAATTAATCCTTCTCCAAGCGAAGAGGCCTCTGCTTTCCAATTACGCTGCGGTGAAGAATGGAAACAAAGGAAAATCGCTCACCTTAATTAGTCCCTTTGCGGGGCTTGTTGCGAGCTCATCCCTCACCCAGCTCACCCAGGTACCGCAGCAGCCCGCCGTGCTGGCAACACGGTGCTGCAGGGAGCTCCTCCACAGGCACTGCTGCCATGGGCTGGGCAGCCCTCCGTGCTCCATACACAAGAGCTGGCAAAGAGAAGAGATGGCAGCAACTTGTCCTTCAGAGGCCCACATCTGTGGTGGTGCTCATGCAAAGCGTGCTTTGGAGCAAAGTCAATTTTGAAGAGAAAACACCCTGCGGACCCTTTTCATTTTGTACCTATTAACAACGTTATAATTTTTGAGTCATGCAAACTTCCAACACTTCAGATAATACGAAAAGAGTAGAAATTGCTGAGTAATCCCGTTCTTCAGCCAGCTGGTGGAACTCAAACACATTATTTAAGATATAGACCATTATTTTACAGCAGAACTTTATGCATTCTGCACTGTGTCAGATCCAGTGGTTCTGTGGGGTTTACATAAGCAAATGCAAGCCTGTTGGATAGGGATAAACTCAGTATCTGTTTGGAACTAAGCACACAAACAACTGCATTATGAGACTGATGCCCACAAACTGATACAAAGGCAAGGAAACACAGCCTTAGTGTCACCATGTTGGAGACCATTCAGAATGCAGGCACAATACTTCTGCTTGAATGGCCCTACACAGCAACTCATAGCAATCTTGCAGTTATCTTTAGTTCATTGCATAGAAAGTAGGTTTGTTGTCATCTTGCTTGGTAAACAGCTCGAATGTTCATAACTGGGAAAAAACACACACTAGTTTCCATTTCTACTTTTAACTTCTTCCACAAGAAAAAAATTAAGCCATTCCTCATTTTTGCCTTCAAGAAGCTGGTTTCTAATTCCACTGTCACCTATGCAAGGAGAATTCATTTCTCACATACAATGAGTATGTGAGGACGTTTAATGCATAGAGCAACTCACTCACCTCTAGAACACAGAAGAGGCCGCCCAGAGCCTCCTGTCCAGCTGGGAACAGTGCTGCATTCAGTGCCTGCTGCTGGAGGTGCCATGCTGCCAGCATGGGCTCACACCCACAGCCACAGGCTGCACCAGGCAGGGGCTGATGCCAACACACCTGAGCAAGTGCTGGTCATGGGTTTTTGGTACATTTGATGCCCCTGCACACCGAGACATGCAACCTATTCATTTCTTCCATCCAACGAATACAAACACGCTATGCAAATCACCAGCTTTGGCAAAGCAGGCATCTTACTGTCTTACAGAGGGTTGGAAGCTGCAGTGTGATTCTCTGCACTTGGAGGTGTCCATGCATGATGGCCTGCAGTCATAGTCACACTTTTCCCACCCAGGTACTGCCCAGCCTTCTGCCAAGTTTGACGTGGCTTCTGTCAGAAAAGCTGCATTTGGGTGGCGGTTATGAGCTGCCTGACAGCACTGCCTGGGATGAGAAAACCACAGAGTATCAGAAGTCGCTGTGGCATCAGCAAACACTCCATTAACAGGAAGCTAACCAATCGACATCTTAATCAATTCAATTAGCAGAGCGACAGGTTGCTGAAGTTCCCCAGGAGGTGTTTGCCCACGTGGAGCCCTGGTGAGGAGCAGTTTGGGCAGACTGACATTCCCAGCTGCAGCAGCAGGCACAGCTTCTGCACAGCCTGGGCCCAGCTCTAGCAAGCTCTGAACCTGGGGGAGACTTGAGGAGTACAGCTGGCTAACGAGATGTTGCTTCTTTGCCTCCTTCCATCAGCTTCCCCAGTCCAGCAGCTATTTTCAAATACGAGCAGCTCAAGCAGCAGGCAAACATGCAGCCCCCTCTTCCCATAGGGGCACACAGTGCAGGCCCCCAGCCCCTGCCTGGGAGGGAAGCCCCACAGCCCATGCTGCTCCAGCTGAACCGAAGCTGAGCTTCTCTGCATCTCCCCAGTGCAGGCTGTGGTGACACGCAGGACCCTGCTCTGCTGTCATGGGACCGTTCACGTCTTCAGCACCCATAACAAATACCCCCCACCTTCTTAGTGCAGGCACTGTGGGGATCTCCATGGACATGACTACAGATCCTCCCTCTGCACTCCTTATAATTACTTGCTAACTAGAAAAGGGAATAAATAATGATGCATTACTACTAA